ATGGCATTAAATCAGGTGTCTCGCGGGGCGGCATCAGAGAGAGAGAGAGAGAGAGAGAGAGAGAGACAGAGAGAGGCTGGAACACAATCTAAGATACGGTGTACGATCTACGAAAATCTAGACGGCGTCGGATGCGCCTTATCTCGGGCGAGGGAACGTGCGTATCTGCTAGGCGGTCAGATAAGGATGATCCACCGAATCCGCCACGCCACGCCGTAGTCGGTGGCAGAAAATTATGTGTGCCTCCGTAAAAGCGTCCACAAAGACCACCGAGAATCTCGACAGAGAGAAAGTTGAGTATGTGAAGTTAGCCCCCATTTTTTAAATATTGAAAAAATTATTAGAGTTCTGGCTGTCCCCTTAATAGCTCTGGGTTCTCTATGAACTGCCAACAAAACTGCCGAAAAATGTATTATCGAAAAAAATTTTAACCTTGCGCGAAAATTTTCGAATCCGCAACTTTTTTGAAAATCGGTAATTTTATTGAGAGTTCTGATAGCCCCCCCGAAGAGAGTTCTATCAACTACCCTTATTGTTTAATGCGCTTAAATAAATAGAAAAAAAGTTATACGGCCTCAAAGTTAGACAAAAAGTGTGAAGTTAGCCCTTCGTAACTTCAAGTGCTATTTTCGATGCTTTAAAAACGGCGGAATTATTTCTAAAGTCGATAGAGAACTTTAGAACTACTAAGGGGGCAGCCAGAACTCTAATAATTTTTTCAAAACTTAAAAAATGGGAGAGCTAACTTCAAATACTCTAGAAACTTATCGCGAGATTGGGAGAGAGAGAAGTACAGAAAGACAGGTGTGAATCAGAACGTTGTTCCTTACCATGTTTTTCGACTCGTGTAGTAGATGTAGTAGATAAGGAAAAAACTCTATGTAATATATTATGTAGCGTAATTTAGACTCATAGAATCGGTTAGTCCCTATACATATATGTATAATATAGATGTACGTATGTATGTATAAGGGTGCAAAATATGAGTACATATCGATGAATATTCGTCAGTGTCAATGGCTGGGTAACATTATCGTGCGTTTATCGCATCGCCGATAAATTACCAAGAGCAGCCAGATATAAACGTTACGGTCCATTAACCGGAAACTCCGCGTAATGCCCGTCTCCGCGCAACGTTAATTTCAACGCGCGCGTGCTGTACGCGGAAATGGAAATGCAGTTTTATTACAAAGGTACAAAACCACTCGCGCCAGGGACAAGAAACGAATTCAGCGCTTCGCTTCGGGCACTCGTCCCTTTCTCACGACCGGCCAGTAAACGCGCATTTTTCTCGTCGTAAAATTAACTCCCTTTCTCTTTCTCTCTCTCTCTCTCTCCCTCCCGTTTCCTTCCATTCTCCTGTCTCGATGAGAAAGGTTATTCATATCAGGGGGCGCGTATCCTTTTCCGCTGCAGATTACTTCAAAGCAAATATTCATCGCGCGTTCAAAGGAATTACAAAAATATAACTAAATCCGTCGAATTTTTACGTCGCAGTTTAAAGCAAGATTGCTGTGATATGAGCAAAATAACGGGCGTGCATTGTACCAAACCAAAAAAAAAAAAAAATTAATATGCTATTGTCGCGCGCGTGAATTTCTCGCAATTCTGCGTAGCAATCAAAATTATAGTATTGGTTTTCTCGTGCGCGTGAAGATTGAAAATTTCATTTCGTGTACCACTGAAATGTATATCTAAAAAAATTGCCAATTACTGCAAACTTATTTTTTTTATCACATGGCAAATTATTTTGCGCGTATAATTTTTTTTTTTTTTTTTTTTTCATTTGACTCATTTTTTATTACAACCAAAATTAAAGTTGTACTAATGAGAGGCATTTTTGGATCTGCGCTAAAAATAACTCCCAACTAAATGCTTTGATATTCATTTGGAGAATACTACGAACTCCCTCGTGTTTCCCAAACCACAATGTCCTCGAAATGACGGTAAAATGTGATGTAAATCAAAATAACAACGGCCAAATTGTCGGAAATGACACCTGTGGCCAAATGATTTTATTCGCTAAGAGAGTGCGAAACATATTTACCTCCAGTTTATATCGGCTTAATGGCGCATTGATATTCCAAAATAATAGCGACTCGCATAAATGCACAGGTAGTCCCCGTGACGCGGTATCCATGTAAGCGTTTAGATTTATCGTTTCCAGCGAACATGGCTTTACATCGAGGAATATCTACCGAGCAGCTCAATCTACCATATTGTATTTCACTGTCATTTGCTAAATATGTGCAAAGTATAAACGATCATAAATCCAGTACCGTATAATCACCCATTTACACTTTTAAAGCTTAATTCATCTTTGATATTTCCAATCGCTCACAAAATTTATACCCCGATAACCTTGTTAATTAAAGAAAAATCAATTTCAGATTTCGTTCAATAATTTAATTATCTCGAATCATCTTACATACATTTTGATTATCAATATTAATTAATTAAATTATTTTCCACATACATTTAGCACTCGATTATAAAAAAAGAGAAAAAAAACGTGTTCCTTCAACCACTTAATTGGTCGTTTGCATCAAATGCAAAATCTCGTAGTCCCCTCGTAATCTCAATAGTCTTTATGCCATTGTCCCATAACACCCATGCCATTAACAAGTTTCGAGCTTCTTAGTTGCCGTCCACGACCCTCTGAAGTGTCGTGGTCCCGCGCCACTTCAATCCACAAAGACGGTCCGCGGCCGTCTCGAAGCCGCCAATTAAGTTAGTTACCACATTCAAGAACTCGAAAAGAAGTGATTTACCGTGACAAAGAATAAATAAGGCGATTTTATTGGAGTCTTCCGCGTCTACATGATTTTCGCACAGAACTGGGAATATCTCCAATAAATTGAAAAATCGACAAGTAGAACAAGTCTACGATTGATCGGCCGGCTTTGAAAAAAGTACAATGTGGTAGTAAGAAAACGGAGAATCTCAAGATATCATTTATATCACATCATTCTATCGAACGATATACGACCGACGACGGAGAGTTTCTCAATTCAATTAAACATTCTACGAGTTACTGGAATGTATATTTATATTCAGCTGAAAAGAGGGAGCGAGAAAGACGACGATGGATTTAGTATTCGTATCGACAGAAGCGCATAAATAAAACGCATCGAGCAAATTAGTACACCTCCTTATATATACAGCCTTCTCGTATATGCTTTCAATATCTTTGAGATGATATAGTTCGTTTACCGCAGCTCGTTACTTCGCGAGTCTTTATACCATTGTTACGCGCCACTGACCACTGGCGAGTTTCGGACTTGCCCCGTCGTTGAAAGGAAAGTCAAAGACGGTCCCCGTGCGAGAAAGCCGCCAATTAAGTCGAAAGGGGGGGAAAGTTTCGCCTTGGCGAATTTCGAGGCGCGCGCGCGCCGCTGCGGTTCGTTTGCCGCCGTCAGAGTGCGACCGAGAAAATACACTTTGACCTGGATTGGCGTTAGGCAGACGCGTACTCGATGTCTCTTGTGTACTCGAAATCGAAGTTCGTGTCCGCGGTCGTCCGTCCGGCGTACTCGAGAGAGATTGTGTCCGTTCCTTCGTACGTGGGCGGAGGGAGATTTGCCTCGATAGGGCCAAACAAGTTGAACACTGCCGGACAACTTTCAAATAGGGTAGTGAGCTTACCGCAGCACGGATGCGGTCGCACGCGCCGTTTCAAAGAGATCGAAGCGTGATCGCGTTTCTACGATAGCGCATTACGTTTATTAATTTCGAGAGGGAGAAAAATGTCGGATTTTTCATTGAATTCCTCTAAAAGACTCGGCGCCTTTGACAGAGGTCAATCCACCCTTTCTCCTTATTTTCGAGAGAGATCGTATTTCGTATCTCTCCTCGTCGTCATTATAAGACGATCTGTTACCAAGAGCAGGAGCTTAGCGGCGAAATAAGCTCCATTGGTACAAACGCTGAGCTTCTTAGCCCCTATAGTCTCGAATAAGGGTGAAAGAGGACTAATTTGTCTATCCGCGCGCGCAGTTGGGGGAGAACTGGAAGGAAAGAGCCGCGGTTATGGGTCACGCTTGGGTGTGCAATACATCCGGGAAACCGCCCACCCACATAACTGGGAAGACGAACAACGAACGCTCCCGGCACGTTGTTTCCACGATCATCATAATCCACCCCTCGGCGTTGTTTTCGCATGGGTTCACGCCAGATTTCGAGCGACCGAGGTGGATTAAGGATTTTCCGCCTGCCTTCCGACTACCGCGCTCGTCGTCGCTGACGGGAAAAAAAAGAAATGACCCAATTCGTGGTTTTTTGTTTTACAGACCCGGCTTTTGCAGCTCGTTGCGCAACAGGGAGGACACGGTAACGTGGTCGTGCAACGAATAGTCTTGGTAGCATTGCTCGGCGTATTCGTGTAAAGTAATTCGCAAACTTTCTTACATGGTACGGTACGCTCCGTCTTCTCGTATAACACATACATGTTTTTTTATTTTATATTAATAAACACATTACCCTGTTTTCCATATTTAAAGGTGTTATTGTGACAAATATATAAGAAGCGTTCAGATATAAATTAAGGTGCAATAAGATAAAAACCTCATTTAAATTGGTAAATGTCATCCTTAATTATTTTATAAATTTCCAAATTTAAATTAAATAAGATACAAACTGCTTATTATTTGATTAGATATAGCTGAGTTCTGTCAATTTATTATAAGTATCGCGCGCACCGTCTATAACAAAATAGAACATCTTCTAATTTTATATATAATTCTATTCTTGCGCAAGCAAGCTTATTGCAAATAATAGAATATTTATATAGGTGAATGACTTCATATTATAATTAAAAATATTAAGAAACTAGCCAATTTTTGGAAATATGTATAAATTAGAAAATATATTTAAATTTATATATCGCGTTAAAGAATATTCTACTTTTTAAAATATTTTGTCTCTTTTATCGCACAGAATGGCTTTATATAATCTCAGAGATGTACTTGCTGGCAAAAATAATTTTTAATAAAGCGACTTACCGCGCTGCTCGCCGAGGATGCACGACTGCGACAGCAAAAAGCAAGTCAGCACCAATGGCCAATTCATCTTCGAATCTGTAACAAAAAAAGAAATATTAGAGTCGTTAAACAATACTATTTAAGCGTTATTTGTTGTAAATAGCCGAAAGCCATCGATTCACGATGTAAGAAATATATATCTAACTGTATGTATGTAGTGGGAAAACTCTATTCGCGCGAGTAAATCACTTTTTTTCATCTTAATAAAGCACAGCGATTGTCTCCAAATATTGCTGAAATAGCCTGTGTAAACAAGCGTCCAGAGTAATATCAGTTTTTTTTCTCCTCTTCGCCGCTTTTTTGGCTACTTCGACTTATCCCTCCTTATCCCTTACGTGAGAAATCGTGAGAAAACACACACTCGGCGCAAATTAATGCGTGCTATACTCATTTCCAAATAGCGGCTCGGCACAATTAGAAGAGCGGAAACAGCCCTTTTTCTCCCGTAATATTGATACGAAAGAATGTTCCCTCAATCCTTCTTTCGGTCAGTTATAATACGATACCGATGGATGTGCCCGTGGCTACGTCACGAAGAGAAATGGATCGCTTTTGGCACGATAGAAATTCAGGGATCGATACTCTAGCGAGTAATTCATGTATAAAGCCCCGAGAATAAGTAGCCTATTGACCTCTCGGGCACGTTCTGAAATTAGACCGGCGATAAAATGTACCAGACATTCTCGTGTTAAAACATTGTCTCTAATACGTCTCGGCTTCAATTTCGCTGTGTTATTCACAGCATAGCCTCGACATATATATATATATATATATACGTCGTGATAATATTACGTGATAGTCCGACAGTTTCGTATAACGTTCGATCCTGACGTACCTGTGTAAAATCGAATCACGTTAATATTTGTGTAGATTCAAGATCCCCTCGCGGCTCTCTAATAAAAATACACCAACTGGCTGAGAGAGAAGAGACCCTTCTTTCGCATCGGGCGTATAAATTTGCCTCGTTTCACGAGCCAGAATCGACATTCTCCAGCGAGGCGGAGAGAAATCTGACGCGATCTTATGAGACGGAGCCTGCATTCCGAGCAAATTTTCGGAAACCACATACTATACGCGGCCGAGAAATTTCATTTCTTTCAACTAAGCCGAGAAAGAGCGCGAGCAAATAATAAAAAATCTCTTCAATTTTTCTTTTCTTTTCTCTATTGATTTGAATGACTTCTCGAGCGACCGAATTCGTGAATCCTCGAACAGAATTCAGGTATTGTCTATACGAATTAAACGAAAAGGAAGACACACGGCTGGAAAATGGAGGAAGGAATAAAACAATGCGAGCAAGATAAAGGGCGGGAAAGAACTAGTTGCCTTCCCCGCTTGGCGCGTTCATGATAAGACATATAGATATAATGCAACGTAAAGGGGGATATACGAGTATGTGTATGTGTATTTCGCGCGCGCGCGCGCGCGCGATGAAATATGCATGTAAACGTGCGAAAACGTATATACATCTTGTCGCGAGATAAAGGTACGAGATATAAGCCACGACGCTCTCCGCGTCTGACGTAAATTACTACCGTCAGGTTAAATAAATTTGCGTTTTCACCGAGTATTTTCATTCTTGATATTAGATGCACTTACTCGTGTAATTCTTTCGCGTCAATCCGGAGCGAGAGCGCGCTTTCCTCCGCAATATCTTGCAATCATCGTCGACAATTGAGACAGGTGACATACTACAATAGTTTTCAATGTCATCCCGTATATGAATATCGCAGTCAATGGACGCATTCAGCGCAGGCAACAATCGCGTAGCACTTGAGTAGCAAATGGAATCCGATTCGCTGAATATCTCAGACCATATACCGATCGCATTCAATTGCTACTGCGCCATTGTCTCCGTTGAATGCGTCCAGTGTAAACATGAAATGAGATCTGGCCAGCTATATTTAGTCTTACAATAGGAATATAAGCCAACGATCTTACTGCGTATTGTGCGCGATGTGTAATATCGCAGAAGCGTAGGAAATGGGTGATAAACACTAGACACGCGAACAAAACTTTCCAAATTTAACGCTTCATTGTGACATTCTTGTCACAATTATAGATAAAAAATGACGATACGAAAAATGACACCGTAAGATTATGCAAAACGGAAATTCTGAAAATTTATAAAAAACGAAAATAATTACATTAAAGCTAATACGAGATGTGCTACAAAGTAATTGAAATATGCCTCTCATACAGTATTTATATTGCGTTTCTTTGTAACGATTTCTTCGCTCAGATCTACCTCAACTTAAGGTTGACTAATTAAATAAATAAAATTCGAAGCCTTCTCGCAAGCGCGGCACCATAATATAAACCCTCATCTCTCCACTATTCAGTGAACTCGAGCCGATGTAAACAAATAATGTTTACGTTTAATCTTGTCAATGTATCTTACGAGACTTCGAAAATAAAAATACACTTTTATTACTAAACAAAATTTTTAATAATAACATGCGTTCGTCGCATAAAGTTGCGCCTCATCATCAATTTGTCTTTATATTGATAATCTTTTAAATTTTTATTTTATTTTAAACTTCTCCTTTTTATTTGCTCGGTCTGAGTCAATGAACCAATTTTGCCGCAAAGCTGTCTATTCTCGCATTAATTATAATATCGGATTAATTCAATGATAATATTATCGCATACGATCGATTATTATGAGAACCTAGACGCGCAAATATATACTAATATTTTCATTTATTGTATTTATCCGTAATGGACAAATAAAATCGCTGTTTATCGCGACGTTGAGGATTGTCGAATAAAATCCTAGGAGAGACGCAATCGGTACCAACATCGACGAAACTCGTATAAATACAAAGTCCCGCGACAACTCCCTTCCCTCGTCGGAGATCGACGGTCTATTCTTTTCTCGTGGCGCGCATTCCGTCCCTCTCACGAACACAGAAGACAACTAATATCCGTGCGCTGCGGAGCCTCTATTTTTCTTTATTAGCCCGTCACTGAGCAACAATGCCGTGCTCAGCGCGCGCCACACCGGTGTCACTTGGTCTGGCTTTTCGCAAACTCGCGCGCCTGCGAACCGAGACGCGCGGATATGCGAGAGTGAGCCACATCTGCGGATTCCCGCAGAATATCACTGTCGCCCGCGCGAACAAAGGGAAACGGGAAATAACGGTAGGGTCGGTACGCGAGGAATGGCTCGGTATACAGGGTGGTTACGATGAAGAAGACGGAAGAAGCGAGAGAGGGAGGAACAGGATGGAGGAGTACGAAAGAGGGTGCATCGCCTCGAGCGTCTCTTCGGTGTCCTTATACTTCTTGCAGCCGCATCGTTGCATCGTTGCTCTCGGCTACTCTACAGCTTCTCTAAATAGCTATACGACACTGCAGGTCACCATATTACATTCCACGTATACAATGACATCGAACGACATCACGAGTCAGTGATGTCGTTCGCACACGTATATGTGGATTTTGAAGAATGTCGAGAAATTCAAGGACGCGAATTCTTAATCCTAATGATGAGGCAGGTGTTCTTTTTCTTTCCGACATTGCTCCGCCATTACGATCGTGATTGTTGAGTTTTCTATTCGCGATCATGATCTCAGTTTCTCACATTAGTTATTCAGTTAGTTGATTTCATTATATCATAAATAACAACACGAGCATAATTTTGCTATAATAACATCGATACTGTGTATGTTAACATTAAGGGATGTGTACAAGGGGGAGCTATCTGATGATATATTCAAGGGATGTTCGATTATTGATGCGCCACATTCAATTTATTCGAGACTATTGTGCAAACTATATTGTTATTTATTCAGTTCAATATTAACTTACTTGCTATATGGAGTTATTAATTGCATTAATAATAAATTCTTCCGTTATACATTGAAAGAATAATTATTATAATGTATAATATTTGTACAAGTTGAGTGTTTGCTTTTATTATAATCAAATCTAATCAATATCTAATCACACAAATAAAATATCACAGAGAGAGAGAGAGAGAGAGGCCGCAGCTTTTTTAAGCACAGAAAAAGACATATGGATTTAAAAATAACATTACTCGACGCTGAAAAATAAGTTATCGCGTAAAATTTTACATTTACATATTTTATATTATAGAAAAAATAAAGAATTTCGAAAACGCTACTGCATTAAATTTAACATAGAAGACTAATACAATTTAAAGTTATTTCCACACATCCCGACTATTTCCGGATTTTGTTGAATAAATTTGCGTAATTAGTTTTTCATTGGATATAAATGTGGAACGATGGCCATATGCAATTACTGCAATTAAACATATTCGTTCCCGAGAAATTATTTGAAATCACAGTTAATATAAAGCGAATATTTCGTATGAGAGATGGCATAATATAATTTTATATAAAAGCTTATTTAGACAGAACAATTGTTAATGCGATATTGTTGCGATATCCGATATCGTTTCGAGGTATCATTTTTCACACAGACGTTACTGTCACTTACAATATAATATTGTAAAAGCAATTTAATGTAACCACTGCTGTCGTTGTATTTCAATTTGCAAAATGATTGTAAAAGAGAGAGTTCTAGAGAAATGTCAAATTTTATTGTCACATAGATATACAAACGGAAACAGTCGGCACGACAATTTATTGCACGTCGCATATTTGAATTATGAATAAATTTAAATTTTTCAAATTTTTTTTCGATTCTCCTATATAAAAATAATATATAAGCACTTTGTAACTTAAATCCGTATCGCGCGTACGCAATGCTATATTTTATTTCAAGCAGAATTTATAAAAATGTAATACGAGATGTCATCGTATAAAAACGCGAATGCAAACATCACGGGAAAAAAACTGCCGAAGCACTTATACAGATTCGAACGAAAATTAATGCTCGAGACTCTCTCTCTCTCTCTCTCTCTGCCTTTCTTTCGTTCTTTTCCTTATGCTCAATTGCGCGATGAGACTCTCGTTATAACGCTCTCGCTCCGCTTTCCATCCAATCTACATCGTTAAGATGAACCAGTTAATATCCGAGGTTCCACAATCCGCCGGACAATATTA